AGCTCTTTCCTGGTCAGAGCTGATCTAATTCAAATCAGACTTGTTTTTCTAGTCTTGGACTGAATAAACTAATAAGGAATGAGAAAATGTCATGGTTTTGCTTTTTGCATACATACAACTACTTGCAGGCTAGCAGAAGAAAAGAAGATTTTATATTCTGTTGTTGCCAAATATTTAGACAGCTCATGGGTTGTTTATTTAACAACCTGAGGTTTGACCAGATTGATTGAACATAATGGATTTTAGTGAGGAAATTCCTAAGCCTGACAACTGCTATACAAATCAGATCACAGAAGTTTCAGTATTTCCTAAGCAGAGTGGTCTTACAACTAAAAATGGCTTCATTTCTTTAAATATTCATAGTCTGGCCAGGCAGTGGTGGCACACACCTTTAATCCCAGTACACAGGAGGCAGAGGCAGGAGGATCTCTGAGTTTGAGGCCAGCCTGGTCTACATAGTGAGTTCCAGAACAGCAGGACTGTTTCATAGAGAAACCCTGTCTCAAAAAAAATTTTTAAAAATATAAAAATGTATGGTCTGGACACTAAACAAAATTTAACTCATAGTTGTTCATTCTGCTCCAATTCCAAATTTCTCTAGAGATGCTGAGAATTCTGCTCTTTGCAATCCAAACGAAAGCAGAGACTATAGAACAAAGCACCTGGAACCCCAAGGTAGTACCATGTAAAGCCAGCCATGCAACCCAGGGCAGTAACTGGACAGCACCCCGATTCTGCTGACCTGGAGTAGTCAAGCAACTGTGCCAGCAATGAGGCAGTCACAGAGCAGCCACTCAGAGTGAGTCAACCCTTGGTAGACTGTTTTAATATAAACCCTTAATAGATGTGATTTAACAGCAATTTTCTCAGGGTCTGTGAATTATACTCTAAGAACATAAAAGAGAAAATGACTAACTAATACTTTGGTCCTGAATAAAAACCCATGGTTATCTCAGATGTACTGGTGGGAACTTAGACATTTCTTTCTCTAGATGAACACATGAGTCAGGTCCACAAGATAAATGGTGGCCATGGTGAGGCTCTACCCACTGATCTAAGATTTGCTGCTGAGAAAAAAGAAGAGTGGCATTTCAGTAATATGAAATGTTCCCAACAGAATAACAGTCTGTTAAGCAATTTTCCAGTACATTAGGCTAAAATTGCTTAAGATGGGTATTCTTTCCATGCCAATCAAATATCACATAAATTGCAGTCTTACAAAAGCACCTAATATGAAAAGTGCTAGACAAATTGGCCTATTTTAGTCATTACTTTGCACTCACTTTCCACTGACCTAGTGTGATCAGGGCTCCCTCTCAATTACCAGTCCCCTTCACTGTAAGACAGACAGTAGTCATTCTTTCTGGGTTCTCCTGTGGGCTTGAGAAAGTGAATGATCGTTTCTCCTTGTGGCTGCTTTAACAGAGCTTCAGCGGCCTGGCAGCCTTGGCTGAGTCACCACTTAGACTACAGCCTCTTCGCTGTTTAACAGACCAAAGTCTCTGTTATTACCCAAAGTGCCATCTCTCTTCACTCCCCACATGGCTTACATAATCTTCTCTTTTGGTTGGTTGGGACAGATAGCCTATCTTCCTACCTTAGTCTCTGAATTGGCAGAATTAGGCAGCAGTCACTGTACCTGTCTCTAACTTTTCTTTCTTTTTTTTTTTTTTTCTTGTTTTGAGACAGGGTCTGTCTGTGTAATAGCCCTGGCTGTCCTAGAACTCATTTTGTGGACCAGGCTGGCTTCAAACTCACAGACATCCACCTGCCTCTGCCTCCCGAGTGCTAGGACTAAAGGCATGTGCCACTACCACCTAGCTAACTTTTCTTTTCATCTAGCTGATCCTAAAGCTGTCGTCCTCTGAACACAATCTCTGAATGCCCTCTTGGAAAAGGGTAAGTGGCCAATCATGGTGCTACACATTTGTTTTCTCAGGACTTGGGAAGCTGAAACAGGAAGATGTTCAGCCCAAAGCCAGCCTAGGCTATGTGGTATGAGTATTTCTGGGGTGGGGGTGAGGGACAGGTATTGGGTAGAAACTATAGGTACAGAATAGGGAAATGCTACAACTATAGCAGAGAATATCAATCTGAATGGATTTAAGAAATCTATTTTAACAAAACGCTGCTGAAATTGACAGCATTCCAGGAATGAAAACACCAGATTTACAGTGACAGAAAAAATGAAGTTCAAGCTTGAATCCTAGCTCTACTGCGTATTAGCCTGGACAGCTATACAGCATCAGTTTGCTTCTGTGTCAATAAAATGGGTCCATTAACTTTATAAAGCTGTTTCAAGAATTATAGTAAAAGCAGAAAATTAGCTTATGACTCCCTCAACCATTATGGGGCCAGCAAGTAACCTGGCACTAGAAAAATTCCCAGGAATCTACAAGGATGACTCAAGCTAAGACCCTAAGCAATAGAGGAGAAGGTGTCTGGACTGGCCTTGCCCTGTAGTCAGACTGATGAATATCCTAAATATCACCATAGAACCTACATCCAGCAACTGATGGAAACAGAGACAGAGACCCACAGCGGAGCAGTGGATTGAGCTCCCAAAGTCCAGTTGAAGAGCTGGAGGAGCGAGAGTATGAGCAAAGAGGTCAAGACCATGATGGGGACACCCACTGAAACAGTTTACCTGAGCTAATGGGAGCTCACCAACTCCAGCTGGACAGGGAAGGAACCAGCATAGGTCCAAATTAGTCCCTCTGAATGTAGGTAAGTTACATGGCTGGGGCAGAGTGTGGGGTCACTGTCAGGGACACCAGGATTTATCCCTACTGCTTGTACTGGCTTTTTAGGAACCTATTTTCTTTGGATGGATATCTTGTTCAATCTAGATATAGTAGGGAGGGCCTTGGACCGTTCCCAAAGCAATGTGCCTTACCCTCTCTGAGGAATGGATGGGGGATGAAGTGGGGGATAGGTAGAGGGGAGGGAGTTGGTATGTAAAATAAAAAGATAGCTTGTTTTCTTTAAAAAAAAAACAAATTAAAAAAAAGAAAATTAGCTTATTAGAAATGTTTTTAAAAAAAACCCACATCGTGCCCTATTTATGGATCCACACATAGACTTTCACTGAATCTCAGGAGATGAATTCTGCAGGAGTGTGCTCTGACCGCCTGAGTTCTCTATTTTCTTCTGATATTTAACACATTTCATCAAGTCTAGTGACTTCTCTAGAACTAAGTCCTCCTTAAATGTACTCAGCCTGCAATGCTGCCCATTCTGAAACTTACAATAGCTCCTGACAGGAAGGTATAAAAGGCTTACAACCAATTCACAAGACGCATGACTGCCCTCTAGTGACTACAATAATTCTTTCTAGTAATCTATTCAGCTGCTCCAGTCTGGTACCTTGCTGACTGAGTAAATTAACTCCAAGGAACTGAGTTCAACCCCAGAATCCACGTTTAAACAAAGCAGGCACAATGACTTGCGCTTATATACATATAATCCCAGTGCTTGAGGAAGGAGAGACATGTGGATTGCTTGAGCTCACTGGTCAGCCAGCTTCACCTAATTACTGAGTTCCAGGCTAGTGAACTACAAAAAGATCAAGCAAATCTTGTCTGAATAATGACACCTTACTGACCTTTGGCCTCCACATGCACAAAGAAGCACACTTAACACAGAACCAGAGCCTGTTGGCCTGGCGCATGTCTTTATTCCTAGCACTCAGGAGGCAGAGGTAGGCAGATAGATTTCTGAGTTCAAGGCCAGCCTGGTCTACAGAGTGAGTTCCAGAACGGCCAGGGCTATACAGAGAAACCCTGTCTTGAAAAACCAAAACAACAAACATATATATTTTAAATATGTATGTGGTATAAGGAATAAAGCAGACAAGGGTGTGGTGATGCATGCATATAATTCCAGGTATAGGCAGAAGGATCTTTGAGTTTGAGACCAATCTGGTCTGCATAGCAAGTTTCAGGACTACATAAACCCTATCTCAAACAGGAAAAGAAAAAATGTATAAAAATACGGTGAATGAGGGAGGCTGAGTTTCCAAAATTTAGGAGTAGGAATTTGAGACCAGCCTGAACTACACAGCAAAACCAAAGATCAAATGTGGTTAGCTATTCTGTATTTCCTGGAAAAGGCATTACTTCTGGTGGTGTTTTGTTGTTGTTATTAAAGGTGTGTACCACCACTGCCCACCTGATGTTTTGTTTTTAAGATAGACCCACATTTTCAAGACAGGGAAAGAAGAATCAGAGCCCTTAGAAAAGAGCCTTTGCAGCCCAGTCTTCTCTCCAGGTCTAAAATACTAACAGAGACTGGCCTACCCCCTGAAAAATTGACATGAAAACATGTTCAACTGTGTAACAGCAAGCTTCAAATTCAGAAAAACCCCTAAACTCATTCACGGGAGGCCGGGGTAGGAAGGTAATGTTGGCTATTATTTATAGGCCTGGCTCTCTGCTTAATTCTAGGTTTCTATTACTTCCAACAGTGCTGCACAGTATTAGGAGTTTAGACAACATGTAAATCCCTCTCCCATAACAGCAAAAACTACCTGGGCAAGTCACATAGAAGGTTGACGTCGATGGCAGTTTTGGTTTTTTGAGACAGAGTCTCTTTCTGTAGCCCTGGCTGTGCCGGAACTTGCTGTGCACAGCAGGCTGGCCTTGAGCTCCACCTGCCTCTGCCTCTCAAATGGGGAGTAAAGGATTGTGCCACCACATCCAACACAAGATTACATCTTGGTGTAAATAGTAAGGAATTATAACCCCAGTCCAAAAATCACTGAGAAAGGGTTTATGAAATTTAACAGTAAAGAGTAGGTGTTCCAAGATGATCCGACTTCCATCATTGAGTTAGTAACTAAATTCGTGGTGGTATAATTCACAAGAACCTTCAACACAGATAGAGGTAGGCGTTATCAAATACAAATATAGCTATGTTTGAAAGTAAAACATGTAGATAGCTTTCCCATTTTTAAAAAAATATTTTTATTAATGAATTTGTGTGGCCATTTTGCCTGCGTGTATGCCTGTGTACTATGTGCATGTAGTTTCTGCAGAGGCCAGAAGACGGTGTTGGATCCCTCGACTCTGGAGTTATGAGCAGTTGGGAGTGCCAGGAATTAAACCCAGATATTCTGGAAGAGCAGCCAGTGATCTTAACTGATAAGCCATTCCTTCAGCCCCTCTCAATTGTTTTATAATTGGGGGAAAAAAACACCAACCCAAACCTTCAAAGGTGACGAAATCTTGTACATACTTAAGCCTGGATAAAGTATAAAGCCAGTATGAAAAGTAGACGTTGAAACAAACTGTCAGCTTGCTCCCCTTCCCCACATGGCTTCTGAGTATACAGCAACAGCCCACGTCCGCATGTCATTTGATACTGAGCACAGGTGTTTGAACTTACAACTTTAAATTTGCATTTCAGCATCAGGAGCTTCTGGGACCATAACTTTAACCCAACCTTCCATAACTGTCTTCTTACTCTCTACTACACAGCAGGACACCGCAACAACAGCAACCAACTGCTTCAGCCTCTTCACTTCTGCAGACGCTAAGACCACTTCTCCAGTATATAAAGGGGCTGGAAATTTAATTTCCTGGGAAAGAAACACACAGCCTGGCCCTGGCATTTTAGTACCCAGGAGAGCAGAAATAAGTCCACTTATCAAAACTCCATGCACAATTGTCTTTCCAAACTTGGTGTGTTTTGCATAATCTTCACTTAAATGCAGAGGATTGTCATCTCCTGTTAACTTCGAGAAGGTAGCCACATCCTGCTGTGTGAAGGCTCTGCTGAGCTCAGCACGGTCTCCAACTCTTATGTGCACATACTGAAAGCGCTGCCCAGCTGGTACCATGTGATTTAGCCACAGTCTCCTCTGAAGCCCACTCCACCAATGATGATGACCAGAGATCACAGAGAACATCTTCAGTATCTCCAAATATCATCAACGGGGGCTTTAGCCTGCCTCTTTTTTTTTCCAGTCTATGTAGACACCAAGATTCTGTTGAGAGTGGAGGTTTCTGGAACTGTAGGAGTATTCAATCCAACACTTGTTCCCTGCTGTTACCAGATAATGCTAGGAGAAAGGGAGACACCTACGAAAGAAGAAAAGGTTAACACAGACCGCATGGTAACAACAGCAGCCCAGAAACATGCAGGTTTTACAGGGCAGCAGTCACATTTTAAGGCACATTCTGGAGGGAGCACTGACTGAACAAGTACTCGTAACCCTGGAAACAACCTGCCAACACAGCACTGCACGTAGCATTCAGTGAGAAAAGCCTTTATCACAAATCCTGATAAGAAAAATTTGACCTCCAAGCATCTCCTATGTGATCTAAAATCTGACTGACCACTCTGCCTCAGTTTTAGAGGCAGTGAGATTCCGGGCTTGTCCTTGCCAGATGTTAACTGTTTGTTTTACTCAAGACAAAAAACGAGACATACACCCAGATCACATCACTGGAGTGCTTGGTCCTCCTCGGAATCATGAAGGAAAAGCCTTTACCTGAATCACTCTGAAGGCACACTTCTTGTTTTTATAGGCTCCGAACAAGGTCAAAGAGCTCCACAATTTAGTCAGACCACTGTATAAAGAACAAGAAAGCATAAATAAAGATTTCTGCTGCCAACAGCTCCCTAGTATTTTTGTTTGTGGTTGTCTAGAAAGTTAAAAACAAATAAACACAGAAACCTCATTTAAATAAAACAGAACCTTAGAAATAAGAATGCATCACAGACAGAAAACAAATTGAGCTCAAGAATCTTTCTAAACTGCACACATTTCTGACTTTAAAACAATAATCATCAAGGATGATGCACAAATTCATGAAGCATTCCACATTTAAAAACAAAATACCCCCATAATTATCAACTGGGAAACTGGCTGTGATTAAACCACAGGGTTTTCCCTTATCCAGAGTCTAACCCCAGGTGGAGGCATGTTTATAGTAACTCCAGTGCACATTCCCAGCCATGGACTCTCATCCTGGAGACATCTTCACTGCTGTTCCATCACACTCTCTGCCCTGTTAGTCTAGAACTGCTTCACTGTCATACCTGCTGCATACTCTCAAGATGGCCGACAAGGTCTTCTCTTCATAGGTTAGGACATCCACAGGTAGAGCAGCACCAACCTAGGTATGGACAACACCATTAGCAGGCTCTAGTCACCACCGTTAACGCTGATAACGCCAGTATTTCAATTAATGGTGCCGGTACTCTCATGTGCTTGATACGGGCTCCCATTGTCTGCAATGTTCCCATTTCTTTTCATGACACCTCCTTGTTTTAAAAAGAGCCTTTCTCACGGAAGCATGCTGGCTCTCATACAAACCTTTATCTTTACAAAGATGGGCAATGATGTCTAGACTATAATTTGATAGCACTATGCAAGAACAAACAGTAATCTAACAGATTCTTGGTCAAATGCAGGGCATGCTGGAATAACCTACCAAAACTCATTATTTCTGAAAGTTGGCTTCTGCAAATTCTAGTACAGCTTTAAAAAATGATATTTCTATGTTTCTTACAAAGTGTTCTTCAAGAGGGCTGGGCAGTGGTAGCACACACTTTTAATCCCAGCACTCGGGAAGCAGAGGCAGGTGGATCTCTGTGAGTTCGAGGCCAGCCTGGTCTACAAGAGCTAGTTCCAGGACAGGCTTCAAAGCTACAGAGAAACCCTGTCAAAAAAAAAAAAAAAAAAAAAAACCCACAAAAAGTGCTCCTCTAGGCCAGGAGTGCTGCTGCTCACTTTTAGTCCCAGTGCCTGGGAGGCAGATGTAGGTGGCTCTGTGAATTCAAGGCTAACCTGGTTTACCGAGCGAATTCTAGGACAACCAGGGATATACAGAGGACTTGTCTCAAACAAACAAACTTTTCCTTTTTTAAAAAAAGTACCATGTAGCTCAGGCTGACTTCCAATGGTTATATAGAGGAGCCTAACCTTGAATTCTTATTCTAATTCCACTCACCAACGGTAGAATCACAGATGCTAGAATTCTGATAGGTGTATGCCCAAGTGACAGGTATGACCAGCCCAAGGTAGGCCACCATTCCACCACTGATTATACTCTTGGTCCCTTTTCTAGAATTTCTTACAAAATCTTGGAGAATGTTAGCTGCCAAGCGACTCATACCTCGCCAAACAGGTCCTTTAGGGCCGAAACAAGGAGCTGTTTGAACTGGGCTGCGTTCAGCTCAACTCCGTGTTCTTGAAACTCTCTGAAAATATTAAAAAGAGAAACTATCTTATTAAATCTATGCTTTTCAGGTTTGAAAAAAAAACAAGTAAAAGAAAACAACTCACAAGACTGAACTTACAAGCAGACTTTCATATAGTGGTACTCTGAAGGGTTCTTGTAAACCACCCTTTCATATGTAGTAGCTGGCATCTTCAAACATGGGTACCTACAAGGAGTCAAGAGCTCATAACTACTGGGTACTTGTTGTTAGTAGTAGTATTCTCTAGTAGCAGTACTGTTTTAAAGGGAACTTATTTATTTGCTGAGAAAGACTTGCTATGTAGCCAAGGCTGGCCTTGAACTGACCCTCCTGCTTTGCTGTAGGGAGGACTGAGATTACCAGGTGGAATGTCACCACATCCAGTCTTCCTGGCTTTTAAAGATGTATTACAGTACTTTATGTAACCCTAGTTAGACAACGGTTACCCATCTAGATATAGACAGTCTCTTCCTTATTTTTGGTATATGTTGAGGGGTGGTGGTGCTGAAGATCACGCCCAGAATCTGGTGAGGACAGGCAAATCCATTCCTGTATTTTTAAACAAGCCAGACCAGACCATCCTTAATCAAAGGAAAGATACAAACATAAGGAAATATAACCATTTACTCTGTCCTCATAGAACATGAGGGGTGGTCCTTTTGCTGTCCTTTCCCCTAAGTCTGCTATTCTCAGTCCAGAAAAAGTCCACTATTCTCAGTGCAGATGTGGCTCAGTAGTAGAGTGCTTACCTCACACTCCTGCAATACAGTTCTCACCTCAAAGAGAATAAGAGTCTATTCTGGAGTCAAATATTAGTGGCCATGGCCCAGGAACAAATTTCATGTTCCAAGGCAGTAAGTTTCCTGAAGTTTTTATAGTAAATCAACAAAGACAGTCATAATGAAGACACTGGTGAAATATATTTCAAATATACTGGTGAAAATATCAGGTGGGCAGCTACAGCAAAGCAGGAAAACCTCTGCTGTAGGCCTCAGATGCTGACGGCATTCTTCCCCTAGACTTGTGAAAGCCAAGTGGTCTGCTAAGTCAACACAGCCCAAAATGTTTCACCCAAAGGATGCTATGTGAGACTCAGAGGTGTGCAAGAAATGACTAATTAGATGTGTGTGTGTAAAGATAACTTAAAACAGATGCTCTGGACTTGCAACATCCCAACCTTTACACTTACTCTCATTCTAATCAGTTAATCAACCAAGTGCAAAATCCAGTCTAAATGAAGCGTAGCTTTTTGCCAGGAACTTTCCTTCATACTAGCACTCCCCAGGTTAATTCTCATTAGTGAAGAAAGGGAAACAAACACAAACCGAGAGCCCTCAGGTACACAGCATCCGGGTCTCTGTAGGGCTATTTGACAGCACTGTGAAGGACTGACCTTACAACGCAAGGGATCTAAGGAAATGCTGTTGTGGAATATGACTTTAACTAGGCAAAGTGTAACACTATTTATTCAGTGTTTGTTTAATTACGTAAAGATGTGTTGCTGTTTCACCTTGCCTGCCAGAGACACCTGACTGGTCTAATAAAAATCTGAACAGCCAATAGCTAGGAAGTAGAGGGATAGGTGTGGCTGGTGGATAGAGATAGTAAGTAGGAGGGAGAGAGAGAGAGAGAGAGAGAGAGAGAGAGAGAGAGAGAGAGAGAGGAGAGAAAGAGAAGGCAATACCCAGAGTCAGCTAGTCAGCTAGCTTCCAGCCAGCCAGCCAGCCGGACACAGAGTAGGACATACAGAATGAAAGAAATGTAAAGAGCCCCAAGGCAAAATGTAGATAAACAGGTTAAAATAAGTTATAAAAGCTAGTGGAACAAGCATAAGGTAAGGCCAGCATTCATAACCAGTAAGTCTCCATGTCATTATTTGGGGGCTGGGGGCCCAAGAAGGCCGGTTACAAGGTGCTCCTGGAAAGGGCATTCTGTGGCTTATATGTGGTGTGGCCCAGCCAAAAACCCACTCCTGCTGGAGTTTAATCCTTAATCAAGTACTAAGAGGTGAAAACAGCCGGGCAGTGGTGGCGCAAGCCTTTAATCCCAGCATTCGGGAGGCAGAGGCAGGCGGACCTCTGTAAATTCGAGGCCAGCCTGGTCTATAGTTCCAGGACAGGCTCCAAAGCTACAGAGAAACCCCGTCTGGGGGCGGGGGGAGGTGAAAACCTAATCCACTTATTGTACTCTGAGATGGGGCCTTTGGGAAGAAGCTAGGATTGAATAAAGTCATCAGGGAAGAAGTCCCATGATTAAATCATGATAGCTTTGTAAGAGGGATCAGAGGACCCTGACAGAATACTTTCTGTGTTGGAACTCTACAAGCTGGAAGCGCATGACCAGTGCCACCCCTTGGACTTGGAACTTAACTATTAGTCAAAACAGACTTGTTTATAGTTTACCTAGTCTGTGTGCTATTACTGGAAACAGAATACTTATGAACACAGGCATCAATGTTATCCCTCTTTTTAGATAATGATGAGGCGGAGGGGGCAGCTACATAGCCCAGGCTGGCTTTTGATATTTGATTCTCCTGCTTTATCTTCCAGTGCCGGAATTATGGGTATGTACCAGGGTACCCCATATTCAATGCCTTTTCAAACAGATCACCCCTTTCCTGGGGTCCACTCAGACCTCACTCTCCCCTGGACAACTCTCACTCCCATTTCAATGTCTCCTCCTTCAGGGAGGCTTTCTCACACCTGCTCTAACAGACTGTCTACCAAGAAGGGTCTTTCTTACCCAAAGTCACACTGTTACAGACCAGCTTCAAGCACCTTTAGATGGTAATTCTCAGAAAAAGGAAGTTGGAATCTAGGAGCTTTATCCCTTTTCTGGGCCCACCAGAGCACATGTTCAACAAACCACTTGCTGAATGTGTGACTGAGGAGATGGTAATGGTGTAGGCTGGGTGCCTAGTGTATCTAATTGGTTTCAGGACAGCAGCAAGTTACTTGATGCTCCTTTCTCAGCAACCAGTCTCTACCAGAACCTGTCTGGTTCACTCATTCACCATCTGAAACATGACAGATGTTTTAGGCCTTGCCAACTTCCTAGGTGATGCTGCTGCCTAAGGCAGAGTTGAACGGTTAAAGACTGAGACTTACATAACTAAAGAGTGTTTTTGGAAGTTGATGGTGGTAATGGTTATACAACAATGCGTATTTCCTTAATGACAAAAAAAGTTAAATGACACACTGTATATTTTACTTTTTCTTTTAAGATTACTTAGGGCTGGAGAGATGACTCGGATGTTAAGGGTTCTTGTAGGGTTCTTGTTGCTTTTGTAGAGAAGCCAGGCTGGGTTTTCAGCACCCACAGGGTAGCTAACATCAGTCTGTACTCCAGTTCCAGAGGATCAAACACCCTCTTCTGGCCTTCATGGGCATTGCAGGCACATGGTGCATGGATACAAATCCAGGCAAAACACCCATACACCACAAATAAAAATAAATTAGCCTAAAAACCAATGACTTAAAGAATCACTCTGCAGAGTCTTGAGCTCTCAGAGTAAGATCGAGTGTTGCCCCCTGCAGGCTGTACTGAGATGGAGGCGCCCTCAGTAGTGTGGCATCCCACTCGAGGGGTTCAACATTGTAACTCTTACAGTCACTGTTGATGCCTTTCACTGATTGCAGGGATGCTCACAAACACCTCATTAGCCAGTGCCTCTTAGTTTTTGACTCCTCTGCCTCCTCTAATCTATACTGCTGTTGTGAATGTGTTAAAAACCACATCACAGCCTGGTAGTGATGTCAAATGCCCTTAATCCCAGCACTCAGGAGGCAGAGGCAGGTGAATGGATGCTTTTCATTTTATCCCGAGTAAGGTTCAGTCAGTCCATTCGAGGTCAATTTCCACCGTCTCAGTTTTGTTCTATGTGAATGAGAAAGGATAACACGATCACTCCTAGGTAGGACTGAGAAAATTTACTGTAGATGTGAGGGAGAGCATGGCCAGAAGTGGCTGGAAAGGTCCAGACTGAATGGGGCCGGCAGAATAGACCCGGCCACGAACGAGGGATGGGGAGAGCAAGAGAGCAAGCGAGGTGAACCAAGAGGACAAAAGAGAAGCAAAGAGCGTGTGCACAATCAAGAGAACCAAGAAGAGAAGAACCAGGAGATCGAATAATCACAATGGCTGGGTTATATAGGGAAGAGGAGCTGGGGGATGGAGAGGTTGAGGGGAGGGGGCAGGGCATGTCAGTCAGAATGATTTGTAACAGGTACTTGTGAGTAGGGACTGAGGGAGGCCTAGCATAGACCTTGATATGCTAATCGGCACCACAGACAGGTTAATGGAGGAGCCGTATATTCCTTTTAGTAAGTAAGCACTGTCTTAAGCTCCCGAGGGAATAGTAGCTTTTGTCTAAGTGCCAGACTCTGGGAAAAGGAGTTTCCTCTTCTTTTTTTTGGGGGGGGGGGGGCGTGGGGTGAGGGTTGGAGACAGAGTATTTCTGTGTAACTGAGCCCTGGCTGTTCTGGACTCACATTGTAGAGCAGGCTGGCCTGGAACTCAGAGACTTGCCCGACTCCCAAGTGCTGGGATTAAGGGCATGCACCAGCACACTGGAGAACAGGAATTTCTTGAAACCTAACATTCTAGGTTTCCTCCTCTTGTTGGCCTCGGCTAGGGCTAGTTTCTCATAAGTCAGAAGCGGGTAGTCACGTGTTTCACACTTCCTTGCCTCCTTCATCTTCCTCAATGTGTCCCACTGCCCATCCGATCTATTAGCGTACCAATCCCTCCTTGCCCAATTCTTCCAAGTCTTACAGTATTTCTAACAGGATCACAGAATATTTAATATCCACTTCCTTGCTCCTTGCCTCTCAATAGGCCTGCACTCCGAAAATGAACCTGTTTCATTCCCGATTGCTACTCACGGACTCAAACGAGTGAGTGCCTTGCACATCTGGGCACACACACAAAACACAGCTCTGGAGCCAATGGGACTAAACCAGTCACTGAAGAAGCCCGATCCCCTACTGCTGAAGAGTCACGCTGTTTCCAACCTTGCTTGATTTAGCGCCCACCTGGAACGTAGTGCGCCTAGGACACGGCCAGGTGAACCCTCCCGGCCACCGTCGGTCACCAGGACCTCAGTCGCACCGTGCGAATGCCCGCGGCCCGGTTCTCGGCCTGACCTCCACCCTGCGCTCCCGCCTCCGCATGCGCACATACCGCGTGCAGTTAAGCGGCCCCGGCGCAGAACGAAGCCCCGGACTGGAGCAGCCCAGTTCCTGTCTCTGCGCGACGCTAGAATTTGGCAAGGGCCGGAGTTCCCACGCAGCGGCTCAAGCGTGGACAGGCAAAGCAGGTGTATTTACATTTGACGCCGTCCCGCCCCGCCCCCACAGACGCGACCCGCAAGCGGACGTGATGTCACTGCGCGGCGTCGGTCACTAGGCTGTCGCAGAATCCTCTGCAGGGCGGAGGCCGACGGGTGCAGCGCGCCCTAGCGCCCACTTCCGGAACTTAACGTTTGTGACAGGCTTATTAGGCCCGGACAATCTTCATGATCGTTTATTTCTATGTTCATTCGCAACAGGTTATATCAAACATCTCTCCTGGATTATTTTTTTTCTTTCTTTTCTTTTTTTTTTTTGCTGTGCCAGGGATCAAAACCACTGCCTTATCTATGCTAAGTAAGTCCTCTACCACGAAACTAAATCCAAGCCTTGGTATCTTTCAAGAACATCTGTCAGGCACTAAGGACAAGATCTACTACTGTCAATATACCTTTATGGCGCCAAGCACATAGTAGATGTTCTGAACTGACGTGGAAAGATTTAGCTGCTCTTAGCTGCTCCTTTATCCAGATGTCATTCCACTTCTACATTTACCCACCAAGTATTTGTTCAGAATCCATCACGTGCTAGCCGCTGTTCTGGGTACTGGGAGCTCAGGAGAATGAAATGTGGTCCCTCTATACGTGCGACATACAGTGTGTATTTAACAGCAACAATAGAAACTAATATTTACTTTGTGCCAGGCGCTGTCCAAAAGATTCTATGTAAGTTATCTAATGGAACTCTCACACAACCTTGAGGTCGCTATTATTACAATAGTCCCCATTTTACAGAAGTACAACTGAGGCAGAGGGAAAGGAAGTTATGTGCCCCAGATTGTGGTTACAAGTGGTATTATAGATTATCAGCATTGGCCAGTGATGTCCAGATGGGACCATCTTAAATGGAGGTGGTTTCTGAGTATGGGAACTTGTGTGATGACTTATCACTGCTTGCAGTCCTTGGTACCACTGGGTCACACAGCTTGTATTTTAGTAAACGATTGTAATTTGGCCTGAGCTGGACATGGCAGTGAAGGTAAAGGGATGTCTTGCACAGCCAAGTCAGTGCCTAGGTCAGTTGGGGCCTTTCTATAACCAAGAATCTAATATTTGCTGTTCCCTAAAGCTCTGTCATTCCTATCTTTTTTTATTTTGTTTTGTTTTGTTTTATTGATACTTATTGAGCTCTGCTTCCCCTCCCTGCCTCTCCCCTCTCCCCTTCAATCCTTCCCCAAGGTCCCCATGCTCCCAATTTACTCAGGAGATCTTGTCTTTTTCTACTTTCTACTTCCCATGTAGATGAGATCTATGTAAGTCTCTCTTAGTGTCCGCATTGTTGTCTAAGTTTTCTGGGATTGTGGTTTGTAGGCTGGTTTTCTTTGCTTATGTTTAAAAACCACCTACGAGTGAGTGCATGTGATAATTTTCTTTCTGTGTCTGAGTTACCTCACTCAAAATAATGTTTTCTAGCTCCATCCATTTTCCTGCAAAATTCAAGCTGTCGTTATTTTTTTCTGCTGTGTAGTACTCCACTGTGTAAATGTACCACATTTTCCTTATCCATTCTTCGGTCGAGGGGCATTTAGGTTGTTTCCAGGTTCTGGCTATGACAAACAAAGCTGCTATGAACATAGTTGAGCACATGTCCTTGTGGCACAATTGAGCATCCTTTGGATATATACCCAAAAGTGGTATTACTGGGTCTTGAGAAAGGTTGTTTCCTCATTTTCTGAGAAATTTCCATACTGACATCGAAAGGGGTTGTACCAGCTTGTGTAACATGAGCGGGCCTGCTTTTTGGGGCTTCTTTCCTGCCCAGTCCCCCCAGCTCTTTAGCCCCAAAGAAAATAACACAGAGGACTCCGTAAGTTATAAAGCTGACTGGCCCATTATCTCTAGCCTCTTACTGGCTAACTCTCACATCTTGATTAACCCATTTTTCTGATCTATGTTAGCCATGTGGCTCAGTACCTTTTTCAGTGGGGCAGCTCACATCCTGCTGCTTTGGTGGTCTGGGCAGGAGTGGAGGAATCAACTTCCTCCTCCCCAGAATTCTCCTGCTCTCCTTGTATCATTTCCACTTCCTGTCTGTTTTCCCCGCCTGTACCTCCTGCCTGGCCAATCAGTGTTTATTTAAAACATGATTGACAGAATACAGACAGTTCTCCCACACCACTTTCCCCTCTTTTTTTAAAAAAGCAAAGGAAAATATCCATAGTCCATTTTTTTGGGAATGTGGGTGTAGTATTCCAGGCTACTTCCTGCTGGTTGGGGGCGCTGATAATCTTATGGGGACCTAAAGAAAATTTAGACTTATGATCAAGTCCTGACTGAAGTATCCTGTGAGTCTTGATCATCTCAGGCAGCAGTCTTGAACCTGTTCTGGATGAAGAACTCAGATATCTGGGCCATCTGTTCCTACTGGAGATTTCTCAGGTGGTCTCCCTTGGTCAAAGATGATTTTTCTTAACTCTGAATAAATCCAGAGCCTCTCATTTTCTGTGGAAACAAAAGCAAAATCTCTTCTCCAAAGTAACATACCTTTTGACTTCAATTTTGAAGCCAAGGTATTTTCAAAATGCCTATCTTGGATTAATTCTGCAACATTTATAAGCAAATATCTTTTAGCAGCTGTTGCTCCTTCCTCAGCATTTAAACAATTCAAAGGGAGCATAATAGCAAACAGTATCAAGATTCTCTGTGTATTTTCCATCTTTACGTGGCTTTATTTTAACCTCTATTTCTTTTATTATTTTCTTTTAACTTTTGGCTTTTTGAGACAGGTTTATTTAAAACATGATTGACAGAATACAGACAATTCTCCCACACCAAGCTTGCATTCCCACCAGCAATGCAGAAGTGTTCCCTTTCCCCACATCCTCTCCAGCCTAAGTTGTCATCCGTGTTTTTGATCTTGGCCATTCTTATAGGTGTAAGATGGAATCTCAGAGTTGTTTTGATTTGCATTTCTCTGATGGCTAAGGATGTTGAACATTTCCTTAAGTGTCTCTCAGCCATTTTAGATTCCTCTGTTGAGAGTTCTCTGTTTAGGTCTGTACTCCATGTTTTTATTGGATTATGTGATCTTTTGGTGTCCAATTTCTTGAGTTCTTTGTATATTTTGGAGATCAGACCTCTGTCTGATGTGGGGTTAGTGAAGATCTTTTCCCATTGTGTAGGCTGTCGTTTTGTCTTGTTGACTGTGTCCTTTGCTTTACAGAAGCCTTTCAGTTTCAGGAGGTCCCATTTATTAATTGTTTCTCTCAGTGTCTGTGCTGCTGGGGTTCTATTTAGGAAGTGGTTCCCTGTGCCAATGCGTTCAAGTGTACTTCCCACCTTCCCACTTTCTCTTCTATAAGGTTCAGGGTGGCTGGCTTTATGTTGAGGTCTTTGATCCATTTGGACTTGATGTCATTCATCTCTTGGCCATGCTCCATAGCCATGTGACCTCTGCTTCCTCTCTTTGCCCCTCAAAGGAAACAGGACTTGTTTCAGGTGGGGAGTATGTGGAGGAAAGTAACAGAGACCCCAGATAGTGACATTTTCTTTCTCAAAAAAGTTTGGATTTTGGAAGTTGCCAGAACTGGCTTGGAATCCATTCTCTGCTACAGATTCAGCTCTTCACTTCTTGTACAGATAGATAAATAATCAGCAACTTCCTTGAGGAGTTGTGAGAAAAAAAATAGTTCGTGTACTGCATGCCATCCAGAAAACTGTAATAGAAAAGTCTCTCTGGATCAGCCACCTGGAAAACTCCTCTTGCCAGGCTGTGTGACCCAGAAAACAAAAACAAAACCAGAACTACATGCATTTTGAGTTTCAAATAACTTTGGTAAATTTTAACTCTTGTACCAAAGTCTTGAAAAACAATGCCCCCTGATGCTTGAATTCTGTCTGGGCTCTCTTGTTAATCCAGAGTTAAGGATGAAAAGAATTTTTGGCTGGTTTTTGTTTTTTTTTTCAATGAAATTTTACTTTTTTTAAATGGGTACTGTGATGTATCATTTCAGATGATATAAGGGGGTAAGCAAGAAAAACCTCCCTCCCTAGCTAACTTCTTGCCTCTCAAAAGGTGCCTTCTCTTTTCCTCTCTCTCCCTTCCTCCCCTCTCTATCTTTCCCTCCCTTCCCCCGTTCCCTCTTTCTAAGACAGGGTCTTGCTATGTAATCCCTACTAGCCTTGAATTTACCATGTAGCCAAAGCCAGCCTCAAACTTTTAACTCAGCCCACCCCCAGAATACCAAGATTACAGGAGTGTGCTGCCATGACTGAGTTTTCATTCCTCTTCATCTCTTCTTCCCTCCATCCCTCCCTGATTCACCCCTCCCACCCCACCCCCTCTTGCTTTCAAGAGGCAGCAGGCTGGGCAATAACAAGAAAATCACCAGAAAAACCTTGTTTGAGTGTCTTAAATTTCTTCCCACAAGTTTGGTGTGGAGTTTTCTCTCTTAAACATTTAACTGTAACATCACTTTATTCTTATTTATTTATTTATTATAGATACAATATTCTGTCTGTGTGTATGTCTGAAGGCCAGAAGAGGGCACCAGACCTCATTACAGATGGTTGTGAGCCACCATGTGGTTGCCGGGAATTGAACTCAGGACCTTTGGAAGAGCAGGCAATGCTCTTAACCATTGAGCCATCTCTCTAGCCCCCTGTAACATCATTTTAAAACACAACACACAAGGGGCCTGGCAAGATGGTTCATCAGATAAAGCTACTGATTGACAGGCCCAAAAACCTAATTTCTATTCCTGGTATCCACATCTTCAGTTCTACCCAAAACTGTTTTGTTAGGGTTACTATTGCTATGATGAACACATGACCAAAAGCAAGTTGGGGAGAAAAGGGTTTATTTGGCTAACACTTCCACACCATAATCCATCACTTTAAAAAGTCAGGATAGGAAATCAAAACAGGGCAGGAATCCTGGAGTCAGGAGCTGATGCAGAGACTGTGGAGGAGTTGTGCTTCCTGCCTTACTCAGCCTGCTTTCTTACAGAACCCAGGGCCACAAGTCCAGGAATGGCACCTCCCACAATGGGCTGGGCCCTCCCCCTATCAATCTCTAATTAAGAAAATGCTCTACAGGCTTGCCCACAGCCAAATCTTTTTTGTTTTTGTTTTTGTTTTTTGGGTTTCTCCAAATAACAGCCCTGGCTGTACTGGAACTCACTCTGTAGATGATGCAAACCTTCGGAGATCCACCTTCCTCTGCCTCCTAAGTGCTGGGAATAAAGGCATGTGCCACCACTGCCCAGCTCACAGCCCGATCTTATGGAGGCATTTTCTCAATTGAGATTTCCTCCTCTTTCTATGATCAAAGCTTGTGTCAAGCTGACATAAATCTAGTCAACTCAGTGTTTTGATTGTAGGCATCCTGACAATGTTCTAGTGGAATTTTTTTTAATGTGCATTGGTGTTTTATCTGCATGTATATCTGTGAAAAAGTGTCAAATCCCCTGGTATTGGAGTTACAGACAGTTATGAGCTGCCATGTGGATGCTGGGAATTGAACCCAGGTCCTCTGGAAGAGCAGTCAGTTCTCTTAACCACTGAGACATCTCTACAGCCCCCTAGTGGAACATTTTGAGTACTGTATACATTAATGCACTGTATTCTTTTTTCCCAATGAACTAATGTAGCAGAGACCAAGAGTTCAGTTCACACTTCAATTCTCTGCTCTCTCTTCCCTGCCTTGCTAATCGGTATCAACTAGATTTTCTACAGTACCCAAGGGGAAATCTATTCCACAATTGTCCATTCACCCAATGGGAATCATGACCTGTGTCAGTAAATTCTTTGAAGACAGGACAAAGGTCAAAACGATCAGAAGCTAAAAGCTTTTAACTGCAGCCATTACTTCCATTTCATTTTAAGGAGATCCACCAAGTGCCAGAGAGCTGGCTCACAGTATGCCGTCTGTGTCATACAGTGACACTGAAATGCCACCGGCAGCATTGTCATTGTCACAGTGAAGAAGATGCAGAAGGCTCCAGCTGGATTTTATCCCTTCCACGAGGAGCTGCTCCTTCAAGGACACCCTGGGGATCATCTCCAATCAAGAACTGAAAAACCCTCGCCTATGGCTCATGTGGAGTCTGTGAAGAGGGGGGAATGTGGGGATTGGCAGGCAGAAATTAGAGAGGTGAGTTCAGCTAAAGTCTGGCTGCAGCTGTACCACATAGGGAGCTCTGGAGTATTAAGGACTTGCAATCTTTAAGGCAATCCTAAAGGAAGACTGAGCCTTCCTTCTCCTTGGCCACTGGCTTCCAGCTGCAGCAAATGAAAATAAGGAATCACCATATGGTGGTACATGCCTAAGACCTGAGCACTCATACGGCTGAGCCGGGAACATGGGAGACTTTGAGGCCAGCCTGGGCTACATGGCTCACCCTGTCTCACCTCCCTATCCCAAACTAAAAACCAAAGCCAACCAAAAAAAAAATTGTGGGTTGGGTAGTGGTGGTGCACACCTTTAATCTCAGCAGTTGGGAAGCAGAGGCAGAGGCAGGTGGATCTCTGTGATCTGAGGCCAGCCTGGTCTAGAGTGAGATTCAGGACAGCCAGGGCTACACAGAGAAATTGTGTCTTGAAGAATCTGTGAAGTTTAGACAGAGATAGTTTAGTGGGAGACAATGTGAGTTCCGATCCCCTCAGGTAAAAGCCAAGGATGTTCACATGTTCACCTGGGGGATCCTCCTCCTCTCTTCCAGAGCCTCACAGGACTAGCGTTCTGCCTTCCAGTCCCATCCTTGGCTCTTTTTAACTCTGTTCTGAGATGGGATGTTCCTAAGTTGTCGAGGCTGGCCTCCAACTTGTCACCCTCTGAAATAGCTGAAATCACGGGCTTTTGCTGCTGTGTTTAGCTAGATAATTTCTTAAAATTTCAAAATACTTTCTCAAGGGTACTTGGGCATTCTACACTTTTTCAGGAGAACTCTGCATTCCCCTTACAGAAACCTGGAACTCTATGAGTTGATCTAGAAGAGTCCCGAGGTACAGCAGTAAGAGAGGCAGGTAAGTAGGGGGAACAATAATTCCCAGCATAACTCCATTTTTTTAAAAATTCAAACCACCTGCAGGCGCTTTCTGATTATAGGTATGTGTATATATATGCAAATACACAGACATCCCCCCCAAAAAAAATGGTGGGGGAGGGTGGGGCCATGCAGGAGGCATAGGTATCTTTCTTAGCATTGGGAAAATAAAAGTGACAGATATCATTAATATCAATAATTAAAATAATAGGACGGGGCTGGAGAGCTGGCTCAGTGGTTAAAAGCACTAGCTGCATATCCAGAGGACCTGGATTCCATTCCCAGCACCCACATGACAGCTAACAGCTGTTTGTAACTCCAAGATCTGACACGCTCACACACACAAGCAGGCATAACACCAATGCACATAAAATAAATATTCCTTAAAAATATTAGACAGACTGCTCATGTTCAGTAAATATTCCTTAAAGATATTAGACAGACTACTCATGTTCAGGAAGAGTTCTGTGGCACCCACCCATGTGCAGGATGTTTCTTTCCCATGCTGGAAAATTCTCTTCCTCAATGTACCACCTACACCCATCGGAAGAGGGGGAACCTGTCTTAAAAATGAGGTGGGGACTAACTGAGGAAGATACCTGCCATCAACCATCAATCTCTGGCCTCTTCACATGGCCCCACAAATAAACACATTTTTAAGTGAACAGAAAATCTATTAATATTGCACCCCATTAGGAGCTCAGAGATAGAAAGCACCTGCGTGTCGCCAGCCTAGACTTATTAAATTTATTTTACATCATTGTGGTCACTTTTTACAGCTGTTTGGACTTACTTTTTCCAGTCACATTATTGTTCACAGAATTCACAGAATTCATTAACAAACTAGCATTTTACATCAGAAGGTTATTAGTAGAAGAAGAGCAGAATATAAAAGATGCCCATGAGCTACGGTGTGGAACTCCAGTCTAATTAGATAGAGGTCTACAACATTATTGCTTTATTAGTATTATTTTTAAAAATTATAAATTATTCCTAGGAAATCCACCCTGTCAGATGCTCTTCATTCTGGTCACTCATATCTGATTTGTAGGTACCCAAACCCGTAAATCTGTGTTGTGCTGCTTCGGCAGTTCTGAGGGCAGGCTGAAGCTAAACAATGCCCCTCCATGTATGTTTCTACATGTAAAAAACAAAAACAAAAACAAAAAAGATAGAAACATTTTCTTTTCGTGTCTTTCTTTCTCTTTTTTAATTGTCTTAGTCAGTAGCTCAGGCTGGCCTTGAACTCACTCAGTACCTCAGGCAAGCCTTGAACTTAGATCCTCCTGCCTCAGCCTCCCAAGTGGCTGAGAATCCAGGTCTGTGCATCAGGCCTAGGGGCAGAAAGCTCTTCCACAGTTTACTGTTTCCTCCCTGGTCTGTGGCTATTGGGCTGCATTCACACATGGGCCTCTATGCAAAACTTGAATTAGATCTAAACAAGAGTTCAATAAATGACTAAAGCTCCTATACAAGAAGCCACTGATCATGCAAGGGATACATCTGAAGCAACAAAAACAGCTCAAGTTTAATGTGTTAGGAATGTCTTAAAGAAATGTCCTTAATGGTCATCATCCTGGGTGGCAGCTTGGCTTGTCAGTGACATACACTTGAAGACTTCTAGTCGGCTTCATGGCTGGTTTTTTTATTTAGTTCCATTTAGGTTTCTATTTTGAAAAAGGATCTTGGAGATTTCCTTGAGGCCCCTGATGCTCTGTGGAACCATACTGGGATAGGAGGTTGGCTTCCTCAGGGACACTGGTGCTCCAATGGCATTTGGGGCAGGATCCCTGAGAGTGGTGACTGTATCAAGTTTTGGGGATGGGAGCAGATGCTGTGTGAACAATGCAGGCTGTGGCAAGGGCCTCAGTTCAGCTTCTTGTTGTTGTCTGTGCCGTGCACAGAAGCTAAGAAGTCGACGATGAGCTTGGCTGTCTTCCTCGGTCTCTCCATCACCACGGAGTGGCCACAATTTTCCAGAAGCTCTACCTGGCAGTTAGCAATGGACTTGGCCAATATATCTGCCCCAGACACATCGAGCACCTGCAGAGGGAGAGAGGGAAAGAGTACACAAAGATGTCGATGCCCCATGGTATTGCTGTGGACCGGTTTTACTACTGACACTGGCAGGGGTCAGGAAGAAGGGGTGAATGGAAGTTATCAGCATGCCTCCTGTTTGACTCTGACACATGGCACTAGAAGTGCAACGCTGCCAATGATAACCAGGTGGAAAAGACTGAGTTCCTGTCTGCATGGAGGTGAAGCCGGAGGGGGAGCCAGGCATATCAAGAGATGAATGTAGCATGATGTGAACAGGGGCTCTGCAGAGAGGAGCTGAGAGGGCAATAGGAGCAGAGAAAGGGAAGACACCATTTCTGAGTTCTGATACAGCTGAGAGAGTAGAGGAATCTTTACAGAAGGGGAAAGAGCATGAGGGTGAGAGGTCACAGTAAACCGGGGTCAGGCAGGGCATGACAGAGCAGAAGGAAGGTCTTTACTCTGGCCTTTCCACCACATCCATGCTTATTCCAGATGGGTGATTGAATCCATGTCCTTGTTCAAGCGAGGCGGAACACATCACCTCCTGTACATCCCCAGCCCTACACCAGCCTTGGGACAGTCGGGAGTCCTGAGACTTAAGGGGAATGATTTGAGTAGTTGGCTTGATGCTGGAGTAGGAAGCCCAGAGGTAGAAAGGCCCCACTAGAAAATGCAAGAGGTGAATGCTACAGGGAGTACCTCCATGGAAGACCTTTAGGGAGCCCCAGAGCTTCCCTGGGACTGAACAACTCATTCACTTTTATTTTAATTTTAGTTATCCCCTAGTATGTCTAGCGGGATCACTTTTCCCTCCATATTCTCCTTTGAAGGTAGCTTTGCAGTCATGCCCCTAGGGCTAATCAAAGTCACCTGCAGGTCTTCCCGGCCAAAGCCCTTTTCTTTATCCTTTATGGGCAAAAGCAAAAACCTCAAATGCTCAGGCTGTTTCTGAGCTTTAGTCTCATCAACTGGAGGTTTCCAGCACCCTCAAGTGGGGTAGGCAGAAAGGGCACGGTGGAGCACCCTGGATCCGAAAGAGGAATGTAAACATGGGCTTGATGGGAAGAGATCACTAGCTGCGGGTGGAAACCTCCACTGAGGCCACTGTCTAAGCAGGAAGAAAACCCACATACTGGGGGGAAATGTGCCCAGAGAGGATGCAGGATGTAGGTTAAGTCAAAATGACAGAAGCGGGTGAGAAAAAGAAGAAACTCCCAAATAAGGGTCCATTCTGAAGGGAGATCAGAAGCCACAACTCACATGCAAAATATCTATATGAGTTCTAACTTGGCACTGTCGCGCTGGTCAGCTCTGCAAATCCAGCATTCCCTGTAGCTACCCATGTGAAGCTGGGGTATGGTTCCTCGTGAGATAATGCATGCCAGTGGGAACCATAGCAGTTATTTCACCAATAGATTAATAGTCTAAAAAAACTTCTCCATCCCATTGATGCCAAGGCCAGGTGAATACTGAGTCATGTCAGGGCTTCACCTAGGGTTCAAAATTTAGTTGGACCAAAAATATTCAACATTAGGAATGAAAAATACTTGAATGCAGTGTTTTTAAACATAAAAATTAATCCAAAGTGGGTCAGGGCAAAGCAAGCTCTTGTGCACACAGACATAAAAGGTCAAAAACAAAAGCAAAATTCCTACCCTCTAACAGCCAGGCAATAACCACTTAATCCTGATGTCTTACATAAACGTTCTTAACAGCCTGTGGTACTCCAGAGCAATGGCCAATCTCATGAAAAACAACTGGCTCTATAGAACTGATTTCAAAACGAGACAGCAAGATGCCCTATCCCATACAAGTGGCCCATGAGATAAAATCAAATCATTCTCCTTCAGCTGCTTAGGACTTTAATTCCCTCTCAACCACACAATCACCTCTCTGGGGCTTGCTCGCACCCTCAATAAATCCTCTGTCTGCTCATATCCTGGTAAATTCTCCCACCATCTGCCTGGGTTGCTGTCCTTTCAACCACAGTGCTGGCGAGAAGAGGTAAGAACGGTTTTGACAGTCTTCTCTTGAAGGCCTTCCTGTTCTGGCGGACTGAAAATGGAGGAGAGGTTCTTGACCTGATTGATCTACAGGAGCCCACTCAGGAAGGGTCGCCAGGTTCAGCCATGCAGATTTTATACTGCTCAAATCCAGGAGCATCATCCATACACCTGACAATGCACACAGATTCCTGTCTCTGGGCACTAGGGCAGCTGGAAGGCTGACTTCAGTCTGACGGGCCCAGGCTGGGACACTAAATGATGACACGGCAGGGAAAGAGTAGGGAGCCTGGGCAAAAGGCCATGAAATAAAAACCTTCCTTAAAGCCTCTGCCCTCAGGATGGGGCACAAAAATATAAAGGACTTCGCCATATCTCTAGCACCCCAAAGAATGTTATACTCTGTCCTTCCGTACAACAACATGGGCTTCGGAATCTGGGAAGAAACTCTTGACCATAGGCTGAGGTCAGCTGTCAGAGGCAAAGGACATTTGAATAAACTACTTGTGTTTTGGTAATTGGATAAAAGATCATTTTCATACAAGTTGCTGCACTTGAGTCTCACAGTTACCCAAGCAGTAGAAGAGACATCCTAATCTGGAGTGGCTGGGATACTGGTTTGGGGTCACAGGCTGGAGAACAGTGGTAGAGCTACAGCATACTTCTGAGGTCAGAGTTCTAGTTCTCTTAATCATCTAGTCCCAGAGGACAATGGGCTATGGCATGTCTCTGCAAGCTCCCAAGGGCTCAGCTCAGTACTGCTTTGTTTTTGTTTTTGTTTTTGTTTTTTTGATTTTTCAAGACAGGGTTTCTCAGTGCACAGCCTTGGCTGTCCTGGAACTCACTCTGTAGACCAGGCTGGCCTCAAACTCACAGAGATCCCCCTGCCTTTGTTTCTTCCATGCTGGGATTAAAGATGTGTCCTACTTTGGGGATTTTTTTTTTTTAAATAAAAGGTCTCTCTCTCTCTCTCTCTCTCTCTCTCTCTCTCTCTCTCTCTCTCGACCAGGTTTATCTATGGAGCTTTGACTGTCCTGGAACTCACAGAGATCCCCCTGCCTCTGCCCACCAAGTACTGGAATTAAAGGTGTGCTCCACTACTGCCTGGCTAAGCTTTTGTGTTTCTGATTGAGTTCTTACTGGCCAAGATCCTAAGTCCTGCTTCTCTGGCTGTACACAAAGCTG